ATATTCTTGCCCATCTGTCCAGTAATGGTGAGTCTGAGGAATTTTCTATCTCTGCTCCAGGAACTAAAAACATTTCCTTACTTGCTCAAGAGCCTTTAGAACATTCCTCCCTACATGATGCAACTCAAACCATTTCCCCTTACCCTCAAGAGGTGGTGGGATCTTTGCTATCTGAACAAGTTTCTTTGGGACTGTCTCCATCTGATCATGGTTCTCTGGGACCATTATCCTCAACACTAGGAGCTGGGGGCCTTCCCTATCTGAAGCAGATTCTACACAGCTATCTGCATCAGCAACAGTGACCAAAGTACTTTTAACCTCTTCCCTTGGGCCTTCAGCATTTAAATATTATGACAAGATGAAGTGGGAGTTTTGCCAGCTCTCCATGGAGATCTTGAATCTTCTCAGTCTGATCAAAGGACTCTGGAAGTGATCAAGTTTGCAGAAGGGGTTCTACAAAATTTATCAGTTGCTCAAAGAAGTACAAAACTTTCAACTCATTCCCAGGATGCTAACAATTCTTCTCTATCTGACCAAAGCTATCTATTACATTCACTATATGTCAAAAAGCCTTTGATACCTGCTCTATCTGATCAGGAAATTGAAGAATCATTGTTATCCCACTTAGAAGATACAGAACATCCATTGTCTTCAGCTTGTATTCAGATGAAGGAACCTTCTCTATCTACCCTAGGCCTCAAGACTCTTTGCTAACTAAACAAGAGCCCCTGAGACTTTCTATATCTCTGTGCAATTTTCTGTGTCCTTTTCCATTTTCCCATGAGTCTGAGACTGAGACTGTAGCACTTTCCACATTATCTCCAAAGTACCTGGAACCATCCCAATCTGCACAAGGGGAACTAGAATATTTTTCAACTGTAGGACAGTGTAAAGAATATTATTCAACAGCCTCACAATCTTCAAGAATATTGTCCTCACTCCAAGGGTTTGGAGAGCATTTATCATCTGCCCCAAGTGTTCAAGAACTTTTCCAAACTGGCCCAGTGGATCTAGCAAATTTGCTTTCTTCCCAAGGGCCTCAGAAACCCTTTAAATTGACCCAAGGGTTGTTGCATCCTTCAGCATCTGCTCAAGAATCTCAAGAACCTTCTGAATCTCCCCAAGATGTTGTGGGAAATCATGAATCCTCTGAGAGGATTCATGGATATATTTTCCCTAAAGTAATGCCTGTGGAAACTTTTACATCAGTTTCAGAGACTACAGTAACTTCACCATATACTCCACAACCTCTGGAACTTTTTTCATTACTACATGTGACTTCAGCAACTTCTCTAACTGACCAAAAGGTAGTGGGACCTAAACCACCTTCACAAATAACTCTAGAAGTGTTGTCATTGGCACAAGTGTCCCTAGAACCTTCAGCTTCTGGCCAAGGGAATGAGAGAAATTCTCAGTTAGAAAAAGGTACTTTGGAACAGTCTTTTTCAGCACAAGGCATTTTTGGATTACTGCCATGTACAACAGAAGTTCAACAATCTACATCATATGCCCATAAACTACCATAAATATTGCCATCTACACAAAAGGACTCCCTGTCTTCTAAAGAATCTTTGGTACTGCCCATATCTGCAAATAGGACTCTTGAGAATTTGCAATCTGATCATGAACTTACAAAGCATTCCAATTCCTTTCAGGAAGCTTCTAGACCTTCTTTGTTGGTCCAAGATCCCCTGCAAGATTCATCATCTGCTTCAGAGACTCTGAGACCATCTTCTAACCAGGATTTCAAAAGTCTTTGTTGTATTCCTTACATGCAGTGAAACCTTCATCATCTGCACCAGATGCTAATAAACTTCCCCAAACTAGTCTAAGGAATCAACCAACTCGCCTATCTAATCAAGGGCATCAGGAAAATTCTATGTCTCTCCAGGGTACACTGGGTTCTTTTTCATCCAAATCAGGGCCTTTAGAACATTCAACATCTTCCCCACTGATTATGGGTCCACCGGTATCTTTCCAAAGTAAGCTAGGACACTTGTTTTGCACAGATACATCACCATTTACCAAGGGCCTACAGGGCCTTTTTCATTTCCTTCTGGGACTACAGAACATTTACAGAACATTCAAGATCTCATGAATCTTCTTTATCAGCATCCAAAGATCTAGCACATTTTCTATCTGACCAATGTTACAGATCTACTCAGGGAACTCTAGCTTCTTCACCATATAGCCAACAATCACCACAATAGTCAGCATTCCAAGGAATGTTGGAACTATCCAAGTTTGACCAGTGTACACATAGCCATTTGTCTTCTGTCCCAGATGATTTTGGAATGTCTCTGTTTGTCCCAATGATTACAGGCACATTGCCACCAATCCCAATGACTCCAGGACTTTCCTCACTAACATAAGCAAGTCTAGTTCTTTCCTTATCTTTTCAAAAAGATGATGAATTTTGCCTATCTTCACAAGCAACTCTGGAATTAAACACATCAAGGCAGGAGACACTGAATCCTTTCTCGAGTTCCTGAGAAAGCTTCTATTTATACAAAACCCAGTTTGGTAAAACCCACACAGGCACAGAGTACTGAAGGACATCCAACTTCTAAGTCAGGGACTAATCAAAGTACCAAGAAGGAACTAGGATTTTCTCCACCTGCCCAAATGCCACTGATAATTTCCTTATCTACACAATGAACTCCAACATCTTGTTCATTTGACCAAGGGGATCTGGGGACTTCTCTATCTGTCCAAGGGTCTCTAAAACTATCTACTCCCACACAAGTAATTGTAGAAACTGTGCCATCTGTGCAAAGTACGTTGACACATCCCACTTCATCCCAAGTAGCTCCAAGATTTTCTCCATTGGCCCAACATGCTGTACAAGATTCAGCATCTTCCCCAAGGACTACAGGATCTTTCTTATACAAAAAAGTTGAGGATCTTTTTTGTCTTCTCTGGAGGACATAGAACATTCACCATCTATTCCACATGCTCAGGAACAACGTCCATCTGTTCCAGGGACTTTGCAACCTCCACTATCTTGTGAAGGATGTAAGAAACTCTCCAAAGCATCAGAGAGAACTTCACCTGTTCAAAGTTCTTTGTCATCCATCCAGACTTCAGGGATTTGGGGACAATACCAACACTCCCACCGTACATTGGAGCATTTGCCTCATGGAAAAAAGGGCATCGAATCTTTTCAGTCTGCTTCAGGGATTATAGGAGATTTGCCATCACCTGTAGTGCCTGTAGAACATTCAACTCCTAACAAACAAGGTGCAGAATCCTTTCTCTCTGGTCAAGGGTATCTAGAAACTTTGAAACCTGACCAAGGATCTCTGAAACTTTCCATGTCAGCCCAGTCAATACTAAAGGAATCATGATATACTAAAGGGGCTCTATGACCTTCAGCATCTTTCTCAGAACTTTCAAAACCATACAAAGTTTTCCCACCTACCCGAGGGACTGCAGGAGATTCCCATCTGGGTCTCTCTGTATCACCATCACAAGAAAGTCCATTTTCTTATTCTGATGAAGGAGTTGTGGAACCTTTCTTTTCAGAACAGGGAACTCTAAAATTGTCCAAATCTGTACAAGGGACTCTAGGGTCTCTCCCATCTATTCAGTGCACTGAAGGTCATTTCATATCTTCCCAAGGCACAACAGGGCAGTCCACATCTGAGAAGCCTTTGACATCAACTACAAAACCTCTGGGGTCTACCCACAATGTCCTTGTCATATTAGGATCTGGGCCATCTTATCAAAGCCTCTGAGAATTATTTTATCTGCCCAAAAATTTCTAGGGCCTCCACAATCTGCACTAGGGTCTATAAAGCTATCTACACCCACACAAGGAGATGTAGGAATTCTGTCATCTTCTCAAAGTACTTCACAACATAAAATTTCTTTCCAGGAGTCTCCAAAATTTTCTTCATCTGCCCAACATAATGTCCAAAGTTCAGCATCTTCCCCTAGGACTACAGGACCTTTCCCATCTAGCCAGAAACCTCAAGCATCCTTTATGTCTTCACTATCACACATCGAAGAACATTTGCCATCTGCTCCAGGTGCTCAGGAAAATACTTTATCTAATCCATGGACTCTAGGACCTTTGCTATCTTCTAAAGTGCCTAAGGAACTCTCCACAGCTATAGAGGAAACATTGCCTGTCCTAAGTTCTTTGCCATCTATCCAAAGGTCTTCAAAACACTCAGTATATTCTTCAGGGGTTTTGAGACAACACCAATACTCCCAGAATACCTTGGGGCACTTGTCATATGTGAGAGAGGGTGTGGAATTTTCTTAGTCTGCTACAAGGACTATAGGAGCTTTTCCATAAACTCTAGTGCCTAGAGGACATTTTACTTTGAGCCAAGGATCTGCAGATTCTTTCCCTTCTGGCCAAGGTAATCTAGAACCTTTGAAACCTGCCCAAGGGTCTCTGAAACATGTTATGTCATTCCAGGGAATGCTGCATTCAGCACGATATCCTGAAAGGACTCTGTAACTTTCAGCACCTTCCCAAGCAGTTCCAGAGCCATATACAAATTCCCCATTACCCAAGTGACTAGGTGAAATTTTCCATCTGTACCAGGGCATCCAGATCTCTTGTCATCAACACAAGTGACTTCACTATTTTCTCATTCTGATGAAAGGACTGTGGAAACATGCCTATCATCACCAGGAACTTTGAAAGTGTCCAAATATGCACAAGGGACTCTAGAGTCTTTTTCTGCTTCCCAAGGCATTGGTGAGTTTCTCTTATCTGCCAAAGGCACATTGGGAAATTCAGCATCTGCAAAAGAGATTGTAGGACCTTTTGCTTCCATGAAAGAACCTCTGGGGTCTATCGAAAATACCAAAGGATCTTTGCAATCTGGTCAGAGTTCTCTGGGGGTGTCTCAGGCTGCAGAAGGGCCTGTGGATCCTTCATTATTTCCCAAAGGGTTTCTGGACTTATCTGTGTCTGCCAAAGGGACACTAGCAACATTGCTATGTAATCAAGTAACTAGGAAACACCATGATTCATCTATAACCTGTCAGAAAACGTCTCAGCCAGCACAAAATTCTCCACAACATCCACCATCTCTTTTAGGACTTCCAAATCCTTCCTAATCTGAATAGCGCACACTAGGTTCTTTGTCCTCTCCTCCCGGTACTGGAATATCTGCCTCAGGTTCTCAGGAAATGTTCCAACTTTCTGCAATTCCAGAATATCCTGAACCTTTGCTATATTTTGGATTGCCTCTGGAACTTTCTGTGTGTGCACAAGGAACTCTGTGTCCTTTTTCATCTCCTCAAGGAGAACTTGATTCTTTACATTGTTTCTCTGCTAATCTGGAAACATCTCAACCTGCCCAAATGAATCTTAGCCATTTGTCATCTGTCAGAGAGCGTGTGGGAAACTCTCCATCTGTCCCTGGTCCTCAAGAGTTTTCACTATTTAACAAAGAGACTAGAGAACTTTCTACACATGTCCCAGGTAATCCAGCACCTCCGCCCTCTGCTCATCTCCCTCTAGAACTTAATGTATCTGTCCAGTGTTCGCTGAGTCCATCAGCATCTTTAAAAGGAAATCTAGAGTCCTCATTATATACTGAAGACATCCAAGGAATAGTCCAAAATACACATAGTTATCATTGGCAATTGCCACACGTAAGAGAAACATTGGATACTTATCCATCTCATGTAGGAAGTTTGGTATATCTACCTTGTCCTCAGGAAACTCTGGGACATTCCTCTTTATACCAGAAGAGTCAAGCAACTTCTCGTTGTGCACAAAAAGCTGTGGGTTCCTGCCTGTATATACAAGGGTCAAGGGGACTGTCCACATCTGCACAAAGGAGTCTAGTACATCTTCCACCTGCCCAAGGGATCTCAGGAAGTTTCTCACATAGACAACATACGTGCTCACAGTCCACTTCTGCACGAGCACAGTGGCATATTCATCATCTACTCCAATGTCTCAGGGATATAGCCAGCATGCCAAAAAGATGGTAGAAATTTTGAATTCTGTCCCAGGGTCTCCAAGAATTTCTGTCACAGCACAAGGGTCTGTAGAACCTTGGCTACCTCCCTGGGAGTCCCCAGGATATTCATCATCTGCACTAGGTGCTCACAAAACTTCTATAGCTACCATAGGACATGTGGTATCTGATGATATGCCTATGGAACAATCCATAACTTCCCAGGAAAATATGAGTCCTTTCCTTTCTTCCCAATGCCCTTTGGAACATTCCCTGTGTGTAGAAGGGACTTTTGGTCTCTCTACACCTAGGCATGACACTGTAGGACACTCGGTTTCATCCCTGGGACCTGTTGGATCTTGGCAGTCTGCCCACAGGGTTCAACAAACAGCTTCATACTCTTCAGGATCTAAGTCTTCTTCAAAAGAGAACAAAGATATTACTTTATCTGGACTAGGGAATCTAGGACATACATCATCTTCCCTAGGTCCTTTGGTAATTTCGTTATCTGTCCAACTGAGTTCATGTCCTTTAGTATCTTCCCAAGATGGGGGAGAACCTTGCCTGTCTTCCTTGGAAACTCTGGAAGGTTCTACCTGCATGCATGGCAATCTAGGGATATCCAATTCTTCAAAGGGAGAATTGGGAACTTCCCCATCTTATGCAGGGACTTTAGGATCTTCTCCATCTGCCCAAGTGGATTTAATAATGTCTCCAACTGTCTCATGGACTCTGAGACCTCTCCTGTCTGCCAGGGGTAGTCTAGGAACATCGACATCTGCCCAATGGGCTATGAAACTTTCATCAAATACTCAGGAGAATACAGAACCTTTGGCATATGCCCAAGATGATCTACAACTGAGGTCTTTTTCCCAGGAAAATCAGGGACCTTTGCAATTTGCCCAGGAAGCATTAAAAGTATTGCTATCTGCCCTAGAGGGTTGCAAAACTACTCTGTCTAAGGGCCAGTAGAAAATTTTCTATCTGCCTTGGGAACTCCTGGCCTTTTCAATTCTGTACCGCAAGATGCTGGAGGCTCTTCCTTATCCTCCCAAAATAAGGTGAGACTGTCCACATCATCACAGAAATGTGTAGAATCTGTACCATCTCATCAAATGTATCTGAAACATTCTCCATATTCTCAAAGGTCTCTGAGAACTACCCATCTTCACAAGGTACTCTTGTAGATTCCTCAGAAGACACAGTGTGGCAGAATTTATTTGCTCCTGCCAAAGTGACTCTAGGACAGTCACCACATCAAGAGAGTTATGAAGGAAATATTTCATCTACCCAAGGAACTGTGAAATTGTCTCCATCATGACAAGAGTCTCTTGGACATTCCTCATTTTCTCAATTTTCTCCAGAATCATCCACATCTTCCCCAAAAGTTCTAGGTCCTTCTTATGACCAATGGGCTCTAAAACAGGTTCCATCTGTCCCAGGAGCTGGTCATTCTCTCTCTTGCCATGAGATACTCCAAAATTTATCATCTTCCAAAGTTACTCTAGAAACATCATCTTCTGTCTAGAGAGCTGTAGAAGCTCCATTAGATGAACAGGGTGTTCTACCACTTCAACCTCATTTCCAAGGGTGTCTGCGACCTTCCCAATGTACTCTAAAGACATCAGAATCCTTGCCATCTCACAAAACAGTTTTGAAAATTTAGAATCTTCATCAGGATCTCTAAGAACTATGACACCTCTCCCAGCAACTCTGGGAAATTCAATATCTGCTCATGATGCTTTGTGCCCTTGTGATTCTAACCAACAAATTCAGGGATCATCATCTTCTCTCCAGGAAACTCTTCAATTTTCTCCATCATCTAAAGGTTCACTGGGACCTCCTCCATCTGTACTAGAGACTTTGGAATATTTATTGTCAGACCAACTGTGTCCAGAATTGTCTATAACTACCCAAGGGTCTCTAGGACCTTTACCACCTCAGCAAGGGTATTTAGGAGATTCACTGTTTACTCAAGAATCTCTGGGATCTTCTGTATCAGTACCAGAGTATGTACAACATTCAAACCCTAACCAAGAGACTCCAGAAACATCTCCATCTTCCCAAGAGGATCTTGGCCTTTCTTTAGCCCAAGAGATTTTAGCATATTCACCATCTTCTCCCAGAGATTACAGATTTTCTCAAACTTCAGAACATTCTCTAGGAACATCACCATCTACCCATCATCATCTACCCATGATGTACTAGACAGACATCATCATCTGTCCATGAGTCTGTAGAACCAGCTCCATCGTCTCAAAGTGTTCTAGGAATCCAGGCTCCTTGGGAGGGACCTCCTGGTCTTTCTGAATGTACAGTAAAGGCATCATAACATTTGCCATCTTACCAAGAGCTCTATAAGACTTTAAAATCTGTCTCAAGGTTTTTAGAAACTTTTGTCTCTGTCCTAGAGTCACTAAGACTTTCAACATCTGCCCAAGGTGCTGTGGGCTCTTCTATATGTGACCAAGGGATACTGGGATCACTAACGTTTTCCAAAGAAACTCTGGAATGTTCTCCATTTGAACAGGGATGTGTGAAATCTGCCCCATGTCAAATGGGGCCTATAAGACATTCACTAACAGAACAAGGTTTAGAGCAAGTGTCTTCAGGGGGGAAAGTAACTCTTTAAGATTCACCACCTCAGCAAATTTATTTAGAAAATGTGTTGTCTACAAGAGGGGACCTGGGACTGTCCACATCTGCAAAGGATTCTCTTGAACATTCATCATATTCTCAAGGGTCTCTGGGACATTCAGGATATGCCTGGTATTCTGTAGAACCTTCTGTTTCTGAAAATAAAATTTTAGGACCATCGATATCTCCCGAGGAAACTCTGGAACTTTTTTCTCTTGACAAATGATCTCTGAGGCCCACTCAACCTTCACATGGGACTATGGTACCCACTCCCTCAGAACATGGTTATCAGACAATATCTTCAAGTGTACAAAGATCTACACAATCTCAGCATAGTTATGTAGAAATTTCATCCCATTTGCAAGAGGGTCTGGGAGTGTCCAATACCAGTGAAAGGATCTCTTGGACATTCACCATCTGCCCAAGGTTTATCAGATATTTCCTTGTCATCCCAACATGCTCCATGCCCTTGTCTGTATTCAGGGCCCTTAGGACATTCATCAGCTGATTCAGGATAAGTTGGAATTTCTGACTCTTTCCAGGGGACACCAGAAATTGCACCATTTACCAAAAGTACTCTAGAAAGACCATCTTCTGCCAATGGGATTATAGAAGCTTCACCAACTTCGCAAGATGATTTAGGATTTCCACCTTCTTCAGTACAGACTCTGCAATCTTCCCCACTTAGCCCAATGAGAACAGAAACATTGCCAGCTACAAAAGAGGTTTATAAGCCTTCAAGGTCTGTATCAGGCACTCTAGAATCTTTTCCATCTGTGCCAGGGGCTTTTGGAGTTTTAAAATACAACCAAGGAGTACTGGGACCTTTTTTTATCTGACAAGGGGAATCTGGGACCATCAACATCTCTCCATCATACTTGGGAACATCCCAAAGGAGTCCAAGGGGCTCTAGAATCTGTGCCATTTACCCAAGAATCAGTGGGCCATTGCTTTTCAACAGAGTTTCCAAGAATGTTCATTTGTGCCCCTAGCAACTTTATTCCCAATCCTCATGAAGACTCCCTGAGACATTCCTATTTTCCCCAAATAAGCTCTAGACATTCTAATAAAACCAAAAAAAATGTCAAGACATATCCCATTTCCTGAAGTGGATAACAGATATTCACTTTTGGGGCTTGATGGCTTAACATCTTTTCCTTCTGTCAAAAGTAGTCTCACATCTTCTGTATATGTCAATAAAGAATCAAGTTGTGCCTTTATTCCTGAAAGGAACATCCCACCCCCAATATAATCAGACTTGAACCTATCTAGTTCCCCTGATAAAGGAGATCTCAGACTTTCTCACTCACCATGAGGTGGCTCCACACATTCTAAACTGAAGAAAACAAAATCAAAACATGCTTCAAAAGAAGCAGTCCTCAAATCTCTCCCATCAGAAGATGAAGACTTGAAACTTCACCATTCTTCCAAAAGGGGGAAGAGGTTCCAATTCTGACAAATGCAGTGTGAGCCTTAAAACTGAGCCCCAAAAGACCCTCACTACTTTTCCCTCTACCAAGGGAGGCTGCATATCCTCACAATCTCATGAGGAGGGACTCAGAAGTTCTTTGTCTCATGATGGCATCATTAGACACTTCAAATCTATGAAAACTAATTTGGAACAGGTCCCCTCTAACAAAACAGATATTCCTGTTTCTCATTCAGAACATGAGCAATGTAAACAATCCTC